CAACAAGCATTGAATCAACTCAATCATTTTCTACTTCAATAAATACTGAATTAACACCTAGTGCTAAATCAGCTCAATCAACTTTTGCTTCACCAAGTGTTGAATCAACTCAATCATTTTCTGCTTCACCAAGTGTTGAATCAACTCAATCAACTTCTGCTTCAACAAATACTGAATTGACTCAATCAATTTCTGCTTCACCAAGCATTGAATCAACTCAATTCATTTCTGCTTCACCAAGTGTTGAATCGACTCAATCAACTTCTGCTTCAACAAATACTGAATTGACTCAATCAATTTCTGCTTCACCAAGCATTGAATCAACTCAATCATTTTCTGCTTCACCTAATGTTGAATCAACTCAATCAACTTCTGCTTCAACAAATACTGAATTGAGTCAATCAATTTCTGCTTCACCAAGCATTGAATCAACTCAATTCATTTCTGCTTCACCAAGTGTTGAATCAACTCAATCAACTTCTGCTTCAACAAATACTGAATTTACTCAATCAATTTCTGCTTCACCAAGCATTGAATCAACTCAATCATATCCTGCTACACCAAGTGTTGAATCAACTCAATCAACTTCTGCTTCATCACATACTGAATTGACTCAATCAATTTCTGCTTCACCAAGCATTGAATCAACTCAATCATTTTCTACTTCAATAAATACTGAATTAACACCTAGTGTTAAATCAGCTCAATCAATTTTTGCTTCACCAAGTGTTGAATCAACTCAATCATTTTCTGCTTCACCAAGTGTTGAATCAACTCAATCAACTTCTGCTTCAACAAATACTGAATTGACTCAATCAATTTCTGCTTCACCAAGCATTGAATCAACTCAATTCATTTCTGCTTCACCAAGTGTTGAATCAACTCAATCAACTTCTGCTTCAACAAATACTGAATTGACTCAATCAATTTCTGCTTCACCAAGCATTGAATCAACTCAATTCATTTCTGCTTCACCAAGTGTTGAATCAAGTCAATCAACTTCTGCTTCATCAAATACTGAATTGAGTCAATCAATTTCTGCTTCACCAAGCATTGAATCAACTCAATCATTTTCTGCTTCACCTAATGTTGAATCAACTCAATCAACTTCTGCTTCATCACATACTGAATTGAGTCAATCAATTTCTGCTTCACCAAGCATTGAATCAACTCAATCATATCCTGCTACACCAAGTGTTGAATCAAGTCAATCAACTTCTGCTTCAACAAATACTGAATTGACTCAATCAATTTCTGTTTCAACAAGCATTGAATCAACTCAATCATTTTCTACTTCAATAAATACTGAATTAACACCTAGTGTTAAATCAGCTCAATCAATTTTTGCTTCACCAAGTGTTGAATCAACTCAATCATTTTCTGCTTCACCAAGTGTTGAATCAACTCAATCAACTTCTGCTTCAACAAATACTGAATTGACTCAATCAATTTCTGCTTCACCAAGCATTGAATCAACTCAATCATTTTCTGCTTCAACAAATACTGAATCAACTCAATCAATTTCTGCTTCACCAAGCATTGAATCAACTCAATCATTTTCTACTTCAATAAATACTGAATTAACACCTAGTGTTAAATCAATTCAATCAATTTCTTCTTCACCAAGCATTGAATCAACTCAATTCATTTCTGCTTCACCAAGTGTTGAATCAACTCAATCAACTTCTGCTTCAACAAATACTGAATTTACTCAATCAATTTCTGCTTCACCAAGCATTGAATCAACTCAATCATTTTCTGCTTCACCTAATGTTGAATCAACTCAATCAACTTCTGCTTCATCACATACTGAATTGAGTCAATCAATTTCTGCTTCACCAAGCATTGAATCAACTCAATCATATCCTGCTACACCAAGTGTTGAATCAAGTCAATCAACTTCTGCTTCAACAAATACTGAATTGACTCAATCAATTTCTGTTTCAACAAGCATTGAATCAACTCAATCATTTTCTACTTCAATAAATACTGAATTAACACCTAGTGTTAAATCAGCTCAATCAATTTTTGCTTCACCAAGTGTTGAATCAACTCAATCATTTTCTGCTTCACCAAGTGTTGAATCAACTCAATCAACTTCTGCTTCAACAAATACTGAATTGACTCAATCAATTTCTGCTTCACCAAGCATTGAATCAACTCAATTCATTTCTGCTTCACCAAGTGTTGAATCGACTCAATCAACTTCTGCTTCAACAAATACTGAATTGAGTCAATCAATTTCTGCTTCACCAAGCATTGAATCAACTCAATCATATCCTGCTACACTAAGTGTTGAATCAAGTCAATCAACTTCTGCTTCATCAAATACTGAATTGAGTCAATCAATTTCTGCTTCACCAAGCATTGAATCAACTCAATCATTTTCTGCTTCAACAAATACTGAATCAACTCAATCATTTTCTGCTTCACCAAGTGTTGAATCAACTCAATCAACTTCTGCTTCAACAAATACTGAATTGACTCAATCAATTTCTGCTTCACCAAGCATTGAATCAACTCAATCATTTTCTGCTTCAACAAATACTGAATCAACTCAATCAATTTCTGCTTCACCAAGCATTGAATCAACTCAATCATTTTCTACTTCAATAAATACTGAATTAACACCTAGTGTTAAATCAATTCAATCAATTTCTTCTTCACCAAGCATTGAATCAACTCAATCATTTTCTGCTTCACCTAGTGTTGAATCAACTCAATCAACTTCTGCTTCAACAAATACTGAATTGACTCAATCAATTTCTGCTTCACCAAGCATTGAATCAACTCAATCATTTTCTGCTTCACCTAATGTTGAATCAACTCAATCAACTTCTGCTTCAACAAATACTGAATTGACTCAATCATTTTCTGCTTCACCAAGCATTGAATCAACTCAATCATTTTCTACTTCAATAAATACTGAATCAACACCTAGTGTTAAATCAACTCAATCAATTTCTGCTTCACCAAGTGTTGAATCAACTCAATCATTTTCTGCTTCACCAAGTGTTGAATCAACTCAATCAACTTCTGCTTCAACAAATACTGAATTGAGTCAATCAATTTCTGCTTCACCAAGCATTGAATCAACTCAATCATTTTCTGCTTCACCTAATGTTGAATCAACTCAATCAACTTCTGCTTCATCACATACTGAATTGAGTCAATCAATTTCTGCTTCACCAAGCATTGAATCAACTCAATCATATCCTGCTACACCAAGTGTTGAATCAAGTCAATCAACTTCTGCTTCAACAAATACTGAATTGACTCAATCAATTTCTGTTTCAACAAGCATTGAATCAACTCAATCATTTTCTACTTCAATAAATACTGAATTAACACCTAGTGTTAAATCAGCTCAATCAATTTTTGCTTCACCAAGTGTTGAATCAACTCAATCATTTTCTGCTTCACCTAATGTTGAATCAACTCGATCAACTTCTGCTTCATCACATACTGAATTGAGTCGATCAATTTCTGTTTCAACAAGCATTGAATCAACTCAATCATTTTCTACTTCAATAAATACTGAATTAACACCTAGTGTTAAATCAGCTCAATCAATTTTTGCTTCACCAAGTGTTGAATCAACTCAATCATTTTCTGCTTCACCAAGTGTTGAATCAACTCAATCAACTTCTGCTTCAACAAATACTGAATTGACTCAATCAATTTCTGCTTCACCAAGCATTGAATCAACTCAATTCATTTCTGCTTCACCAAGTGTTGAATCGACTCAATCAACTTCTGCTTCAACAAATACTGAATTGACTCAATCAATTTCTGCTTCACCAAGCATTGAATCAACTCAATCATTTTCTGCTTCACCTAATGTTGAATCAACTCAATCAACTTCTGCTTCAACAAATACTGAATCAACTCAATCAATTTCTGCTTCACCAAGCATTGAATCAACTCAATCATTTTCTACTTCAATAAATACTGAATTAACACCTAGTGTTAAATCAATTCAATCAATTTCTTCTTCACCAAGCATTGAATCAACTCAATCATTTTCTGCTTCACCTAGTGTTGAATCAACTCAATCAACTTCTGCTTCAACAAATACTGAATTGACTCAATCAATTTCTGCTTCACCAAGCATTGAATCAACTCAATCCATTTCTGCTTCACCAAGTTTTGAATCAACTCAATCAACTTCTGCTTCAACAAATACTGAATTTACTCAATCAATTTCTGCTTCACCAAGCATTGAATCAACTCAATCATTTTCTGCTTCACCTTATGTTGAATCAACTCAATCAACTTCTGCTTCATCAAATACTGAATTGAGTCAATCAATTTCTGCTTCACCAAGCATTGAATCAACTCAATCATTTTCTACTTCAATAAATACTGAATTAACACCTAGTGTTAAATCAACTCAATCAATTTTTGCTTCACCAAGTGTTGAATCAACTCAATCAATTTCTGCTTCACCAAGTGTTGAATCAACTCAATCATTTTCTGCTTCAACAAATACTGAATCAACTCAATCAATTTCTGCTTCACCAAGCATTGAATCAACTCAATCATTTTCTACTTCAATAAATACTGAATTAACACCTAGTGTTAAATCAACTCAATCAATTTCTTCTTCACCAAGCATTGAATCAACTCAATCATTTTCTGCTTCACCTAGTGTTGAATCAACTCAATCAATTTCTGCTTCACCAAGCATTGAACCAAATCAATCATATTCTGCTTCACCAAGCATTGAATCAACTCAATTCATTTCTGCTTCACCAAGTTTTGAATCAAGTAAATCAACTTCTGCTTCAACAAATACTGAATCAACTCAATCATTTTCTGCTTCACCAAGTGTTGAATCAACTCAATTAACTTCTGCTTCAACAAATACTGAATTGAATCCATCAATTTCTGCTTCACCAAGTTTTGAATCAACTCAATCAACTTCTGCTTCAACAAATACTGAATCAACTCATTCAATTTCTGCTTCACCAAGTGTTGAATTAACTCAATCAACTTCTGCTTCAACAATTACTGAATCAACTCAATCCACTTCTGCTTCGACAAATACTGAATCAATCCAATCAATTTCTACTTTGCCAAGTGTTGAATCAACTCAATCAATTTCTTCTTCACCAACTGTTGAATTAATGTTAACTAAATCTATTTCAACCCACATGTCTATGTATATATTATCTTCCTCAATACCATCACCTTCTCCTCCTGGTAAGTGAATGATTCATGCCATTTTTATTAACTATTTAAAATGCTAGGTACTTGTGAAAAAAGTACTACTGTAAGTGATCATGGGAGTTTTGTTTGGCTGGAAACCAGCGTTGATGAAACAGGAAATGTTTTTTGTCCTCATGGTCCTCCTGGAGCCTTTGCTACAAGACTATGTATGAGTGATGGCAATTGGGGCTTGCCTAATGTTACCAACTGTGCCAATCCTAAAATAACTGCAGCTTTTACTAATTTAGCTGAGGTTTGCCAGTAGATTCATATAATTTCATAATCTATGTTCTCTCTCTCCTTTTATGATAGGCCAATGTCACTGCTAGTAATGTTGCTTCTGTTAGTCAGAATCTTTCAACTTTAGTGTCTCAAGTGACTGAGCCTGGTGATCAAAATACTAACAATTTGGTCAATATATCATCTCTGCTTAACAAGACAGCTTCTTTATTTGCTAATCCAATAATCGTTTTTGAGTTGTCTACTGAAGATGTTGAAAGTGTAAGTTTGATTCAACCAATTTTAATATTGACATTACTTCATAGACAACTGAGAGTACTGTCCAGGTACTTAACAGCATACAGAACTGGCCTCCACATATAGTTGAAGCACAGTCCAATGTGTAAGCATTATCATCTGCTGCTTTTAATTAATTTTAAAAAAATTAATTTTAGCATATCAGCCAAAATTAAAATTAAAGCTTAATTTCCTAAAATTACATTCAAGACATTGTGTCTGAACACTGCTTAATTTGATCTGCCATTTTTATGTGTTCATGCAGCTTCTTGTCGAGTTACTCAAAATCAGGCCTAGGACCCAATACAGGGTATTTTGATAAAAATTATAAGTAAAGAATTTTTTATTTCAATAATTTTTGCTGATACATATGCATGTTTTTAATTTGTGTATCAAGTTTGAGCTAATTTTTATCAAATTTGGATTTTTTATGAAATTTTAAAGTTACTCAAAAATTGGTTCAAAGTCCCTGTACTGTAGTACAGGGACTTTGGTCAAATTTCATCAAAAATGACTAGGTGAGAATTCTCCATTTTTATAATTTTTCCTGATACATATACATGTTTTTAATTTGTGTAGAAAGTTTAAGCTGATTCTGATCAAATTTAGATTTAAAAAAATTTTTTTAAGTTGCTCCAAAATTGAGCCAAAATCCCTGTACTATAGTACAGGTGGTTTGGCCAAATTTTACCAAAAATGACTAGGTGAGAAATTTCCATTTTTATAATTTTTCCTGATACATATACATGTTTTTAATTTGTGTAGAAAGTTTGAACTGATTCCGATCAAATTTTGCTTTTTTATGAATTTTAAAAATTGCTTTAAAGGCTACAATTGTAGTGCTTGTCAGTTCATAAATACTTTGTGGGAAGCCCTTCAGTCATACATGATTAATTGCTTATTTATGTTAAATTCTTTAATTCAAATTTTACATCATTATTTTAAAAATTATGTTGTTCAGACTAAATCACAGAATTTAGTAAAAAAAATTGAGCAAAAATGGTCGGAAAAAGCCAGATGCCACACTTCTATTTCTGTCTCTGTTTATACATGTATTTTGTAGCATTGTCCAGTCATTTGAAAGAATACTGGATGCATTAATGAATCAAGAAAACTTTACTAATTTGACAGTCATTGAAACTGGCATTGCATTTCAGGGACTAAGAGTAAGGAGAGATTTCTATACATTATGTACTACAGTTTACTGGTTGTTTCTAGATAAAGAAACAAGACTTCATTGGTATAACATTTATCGGATCATCCATAAGTGGCATCAGACTATCTGTGGATTCTATATTTGAGAACAATAGATCCACTCATCTAAATGAATTGGATGAAATTAGATTTCATTTTCCAAGTAGCATCATAAATGTAACTAAAGATGCTGACATTAATGTTGTATTTGTGATGTACAATGAAACAACGTTGTTTCCTCTTCGTGAGTCTGATCCAGATACAGTGGTGGGAACTGCAGTCACTGGGGCTAAGGTTGGTGGCATTCCTGATGGCACTGCTCTACCTGATAATGTCACTATGAACTTTACAATAAGAGAAGAAGTATGCTACCTTTTATCATGAATATTTTATCTATACTTTTTAGAATGCTACCAACCATCATTGTGTATATTGGAACTTCTCTGCAGCAGGTCAGTCATTAAACTTTGCTTACAGTTGCTGTAATAAATTTAAAAAAATTTACCTGATAATTTCTGAGAAAAATAATATTTTCTGAAAAAATTTAATTTAAAAAATAATTAATTAATTTCTCCAGCAAAATTTCTGTTGAAAAAATTTTTCTGGCAAAGTTCCTTAGAAAAATAAATTTTCCCGACAAAATCTGGAAAAAATTAATTTTCCTGGGAAAAATTTTAAGAAATACCGTATAGCTGGCTTATTTCGTGGCCTCAAATTTTTGCTGCTTAAATTTTCATTAAAATTAATTTTAGTGCCTTGCTAAATTTTTGTTAATATTTAATTGGTTTTAATAAAATTTAGTGGAATTAATTTTAGTGGATTTGAGCCTGCACAAAAATTAATTCCACACGAAATAAACCAGCTATACGGTAGCCAAAATTTACATGAGAGATTTGACCTTCTGAAAAAAGGTCATGCTTAAAGTTGATGCAAGACTGACTAGATTTTAATTTGCATTCCACTTTTTAGTGGCTGTAAATCTTATAATTTTATTTAAAAATACTATGAGTTTATACAGGAGGTAAAGGAAACTGGACTCTTGCTGGTTGCACTACTTACGTCATTAATACGAGCTTTGTCACATGTGTCTGTAATCATTTGACTAACTTTGCTTGTCTTGTGGTAAGTTTTCAAATTCAATTCTCTAATTTTATTCTTTTATAAAGGACATAGGCTCACGAGAAGGTAATACTCCTCCACCTAAGATTAGAGCTGCCCTTAACATATTCAGTATCATTGGTGTCTTTGTATCACTATTGGGACTGCTCCTAACAATAATCACATTAATTATAATAAAGTATGCACATTATTTTATTAGTTATATAAATTTTAATTTTTGTTTAAAGGAAATTCAGGGAGAGAGATGTCAGCAAGTTTCACATTCAACTCTGTCTCTCATTGATTTTCATGTTAATAGTATTTGTTGCTGGTATTGATAGAGTATCAGTGAGAGTTGGTTGTGTAACTGTTGGTGTTCTCATTCATTACTTTGCTCTTGTATCATGGATGTGGATGGGAGCTGAGGCTGTAATGATGTTTCAGAAACTAGTCATTGTATTCTCAAATATTACATGGAAGTACATCCTTTTTGTTTCTATTATTTGTTGGGGTAAGAGAGAAAATATAATTTTCTGCTTTATAATTTAAAAAAATTTTTTCAACAGCTGTTCCGCTTCTGCCATTAACTATAACAGTCTCAATTGATCCTGACTTTTACATATATGGCAATGCCAGTAACAATGAATACAGCTTGTGAGTTTTAGCTTTTTTAATTGACTTTTTATTTTACATTAATATGCATCATAGCTGTTTTATTGGAGAATTGATGCCGTTTCTTACTGCATTCCTAATCCCTGTATTCCTCATCCTCCTTTTCAACCTTGTCATCTTTGTCATCATCATCATCGTAGTAATAAAACACAACTTGAAAAAGAACAAACGATTAGGAAAATCAATGAAAACCAAAGACGCCATCAAAATGTTAATACCATTAGCTGGTGTGATGCTCTTATTTGGTCTGACATGGATTTTTGGTGTCTTCACTTTTATTTCAGAGCCAGGAGTCTCTAATACTGTCCAGTTCTTATTTATTTTCTTTAATGCTTTCCAAGGCTTTTTTATATTTTTGTTTTTCGTTATTTTTAGTAGTGAATCTAGGGACGCTTGGAGAGCATTTTTCTACCGAGAGAAAAGGAACATTAGCAGCAATAAGACTGCTGTCATTGGATCTAGTCAAGTCAATACAAATCGTTACAAAACAAGAGTGTCTTCTCTTCCTCAGTCAAACTCATTGAGTGACACGGTGAACAGCACGTCTATTGATTGCTCAAGAAGAGATAATGATTTGAGTGAAATTGAAGCTAAAGCTGAATAAAACTAATATTGCCACTAGATCTAGACAAGACATTAATAGTAATGGTGTTACTGTCCAATAAAATTAAGTGTGTTTAGTTTATTGTAATTGTTTAAAAAGATATACTGTTAGCATGAATGTGATTAAATAAAGTTGGGAGATTACAGGTTGCAAGCAGTATAAATTCAGCTATAATTATACATTACATAATCATACCTGTTACTTTGTGGTCATAGAAAATACAATGTGATTGTGCCTATTACAAATTATTATAAACGGATAAAAAAGCATTGATGAGCATTGATGAACTTCCGGTTTTTTGGTGTGGTTGCATTCCTTGCATACCAAGAAGAGCGGACCCCACCCAAAGACAAAGAGTTGTAGAGAATGGCTGCTACTGAGCCTGCTATTAGTGTCTTTGATTCGACAGTTACAAGTACGTTTTTAACTTTTAATCGTAAACCTGTATAAAAACTGGTGGTTAATCTTTTAGATTTGGATTTTATTGAAGAAGTGGAAGGTCTTTTAACTAAAAAAGGACTCGAAATCATAGGCGGTTGCAGGCCTGGGCATTAGGGGGCAATGCCCAGGTTGACTTTTTGACCAATAATTATATTCATGATTCTGGTGTGGGCATCCAGTGCAAACTGTGGTAGTTCAATAGGCTTCTTTGTTGTAAGCTAAGAAACCATCTCAATGAAGTTATAGATCAGTATTGTCCATTTTCCTTGCAAAATTGTATGGAACCACACCCACTTCACACCCACTAATTATTGATGCCCAGGTCAAACCAAATTTCTGCAACCGCCCATGCTCGAAATATCAGATTTACAAGTTAACCTCAAAAAAGATGACAGCACCGCAGACCTCATTCCGGGGAAGGACTGGTATTCGTTTGGTAAATCAATGAAAGTTGAATGTAACTCACTGGACGATATTAAAGAGAACAATAAAACTTTGAAAGGAAAGAAAACCGCCCTGCTTCATCTTCTGATTGAACGTGACAATATTCGATACGAAGATATCATTTATGGTTATTATACCCTTGGTCAGAGCGAAAATATTTCCTGTGTTCTTGATTATCTTGCAAGTCAAAGGAAAGAAAAAGGTAGAGCATATTTGTTTGTAACTATATATATATATATATATTGACTCTTATTTGTAGAACCACATACAACGGTACATAAAGAGAAGCCACTGCCTAGTAATAGATTGAAACTACAATATATATGGCAAGCAAATTATAGAGAACGGCAGGGAAGGCCTCCTCCGATTGGTAAAAAACAAGAATTTAGTGTTGAAACCTATAAAACCCAGTTCTATGGTATGCTATGGTCAGAAGAGGAGGAACACATACAGAAACTGAAAATGAAGTAAATTAGTCATAATTATTCTTAGCATTTTAATGATCCTTTATATTATATAGGTGTAATGGCCGTTATAAATTGTACATAACCGATAATGTTCCACAAGAAGTTAAGTTCCTTCAGCAAGATGGTGATTTATATGGTTACATTGAAGACGAGTCTTTTACTGATGATAAAATAGAGTATGCAACTCAAGCTAGTGAATGCGTTTACTTAAAAATGCCTGACGGTAGTCATTTAAAAGCATTCTTGTCACAGTACAACTACACTCATATTGAGCAACTCCTTTATATCAATATACCAAAAGGGCATCTCAAGTTTTCATCCTTTTCTTTTAATAAAGAAGAAGGTGATGACATCATAGCTCAATTTGAAGTGAAGCACTCTTACTTTGACCACCTTCATCGTGCAGTGGTCAACATACCATCATATGTCGCAAGCTGTCTCTTACCAAATGAAACTTCTTTCAGTGAATTTGAAAATGGAATAAGATTTGAGCCTCGTTGTGAGTACAGTTTCATGAGATTAGATCGTGATCAACAAACCAAAGCCCTCAGAATGATTACTTCTGTTCCTTCACACAGTGACATTAAGTCATGTCCCCCTCCAGTTATTCTTTATGGTCCATTTGGTTGTGGAAAGACTCGTATTCTTGCTCGTGCTGCATATGAGATTATGAGAAACAGGTTTAACAGAAGAGATTCGTGGATAAGAATCTTAATTTGTGCTCATCATCCTCAGTCTGTTAATACTTTCATTGTTGATTACTTTTCTAGAATTAAAAAGGATGACTTTTCATCTCAATTTGATATTTTTCTTGTTTCTCGATATTTGGGAAATCCTTATCCCACCTCTCGCAATTCTCCGTACTACAAGACTCTCGATGAACTCCGTGAGTCTAATTGCGACTTCAAAAATCTTATCATTGTTACTTCATACAGTACATCACTGCAACTTTATGAAATCCTGAACGTTCCTGATCATGGTTATTTTACTCACGTGCTCCTTGATGAAGCTGCTCAAGTACGTGAGCCTGAGGCAATCATTCCACTAGCCCTAGCAACAAGAGATGCCAAAATTGTCTTAGCTGGTGACGATAATCAGGTATACTATATTTAGTATAATTTACTTGCCTAGACCTTTTATGAATGTATTATTTGTTACACTATAGACTATATATTGTATTTGAGCCAATTATAGCACTTCTACTTAGCTTGAATAATAAAATTTCTATTGACTGCCCTAGATAATTAAGCACCTCCTGGAACATCTCAAATGTTCCTATCTAAACAATGCACCACCTGAGGTGTGTTAAGTATGATAAAGTATCTCATTTTTTGTACAGGTTGGTCCAAGGACTCTTGTTTTTGGACAAGAAGCAAAAAATTGTGGGCTAAATGTCTCACTTTTGACACGTCTAATGGAACGCTACAAGAAAATAAGCCCTGTTGCATCTGAATATTTTACAAAACTCACTGTCAATTATCGTTCACATCAATCCCTCCTTCAATTGCCAGAATTGTTTTATGGACCAATTCAGTCCACAGATAACAAGCCTTATTGGCATCACAGAGGTCCAACTGGCTACAAATTTGTTTGCTCAGATTCTAGACTTGTTCCAGATTACATTGACAAGGATCAACAATTAGTGGAAGCTTGCATTGTTTTAGAAGAAGTTTTGCATTATTTGAAGGAAATGGAAAATGAGTATCGACCTCCAAAAGTTTGTATTATATCTTCTACAAGAAAACAGGTACGAGCTATATTTTCAACATAATTTATTTAGCTTTATAGTTAAATCATATCAAAAAAATGGCATCTCGTTATCCTTGTTATGATGTTTTGAAAAAAAAGAAAGTATCATTTTTGCCTTCTTTTATGATTCAAGGTATACACAATGTTTATGATGTATTTTAAAAATAACCATGATACTTACCAGGCCATGAATTTCAAGCCATATTTATAAGTTTGCTGGAACCATTGAAAGATGGAAAAAACAGAGAATATCTCACAAAAAGTCTGTTTAATAAGTAAGTTTTTTACAAAAGTAAATAGCATTAAGTTTACATGTTAATAAAATAAAAGTGCATGTGTGTGATGTTGCGTGTCTTTTAGGTTTGTCTTCAATACAGTTATTACAAGAGCAAAGAGTCTTGTAGTATGTGTTGCTAAACCATTAGAATTGTTAGACTTTGAAGATCAATACATTAAGCTTACACTTGAAGCTAAGTGCTGGCATGAGTACTTGCATTTGTGCTTAGTAAGAGGTGCTGTAGACCACTTAACTCAATCACGAATTCAAAAGGAAGTTTTTGAACGATTAGCAACATACAAAAAGTACAGAGAATTTCTTTATTACTTTATGATAAATTTATTTTATTTTAAAGGATACCTTTTGATGCTGCTGTTTTGAAACGTTATGAAGAATTGGATTCTGTATCAAGTTCAACCAGCAAAGAGCAATCATTACTTGGTAGGATGATAGGATGAATAAATATAGTTTCATTTACAATGCTTGTTTATAGATGACAATTTATCTACCCAATCTGAAGGCTCTACCCATTTAGAGTACAAAATAAAGGAAAGTGGTTATAGTAAGTGTGAAACTATAGATATTACTTTTAAACAAAATTTTATAGCACAAGTGAAGCCTTTTGAAATGCAGCCTGTACCTAATTATCCAAAAGTAACGGAAGGTAGATTCTACATTTGTGGTTAATTTATGCATACAGTATACCTGCTAATTTTTTGTAGGGCTCAGTACACAAGGGAAAGAACTAACCAGAAAAATAGAAGAGTTAAAAATGGAACTGAAATCTGTGAACAAAGATTTATTACACACAAAGGAGGAGATGGAATGCACAAAGGAGGAGATGGAATCAGAAATTGATGCTCTAAAAGGGACAGTAAAAGAAAAAGAGAAAGAAATTTCTGCCACAAAGAATAAATTGGAAGCAGTAAAAAAAATGGCAAAAGCAAAAGACATGCAAATTATGAGGCAACTAAGCAGAGGTAGTGCTAGTTCTCCAGAACTTGAAAAGCAAGCTCCTTTATCTCATGATATTAAATCACTTACCAAAGAAAAAAATGTATCAAAAAACCACTCTGACATGTGCACCCAGACTGAAAAATACGAAGTTCAAAAGCCTAGTAAACCTAGTGCCAAATTAACAGGTACATGTATAACTCATCATATAAAATCATTTTGATTTATCAATCATTTTTAGTCTATGATAACAACAGACAAAAAGGAATTGCAATGATATATGGTTTATTTACACTGTTTATTCTCCTCACATTGTTAAGATTTGATCTAAAAATTGGTATGCCAAGTTACTTACATAATATAGATACTTATCAAATATTTTCTTTAGCTCCTTTACCAGGTGTAAAAGTAGTTGCTTCTACTAAATTCCTTGTAGCAGGTGGTCAGTCAAGGCAGCTAAACTGGGAAGAATTTGGGTTTATAATGGATATTCCAAAAAATGCCCTTCCTCGTGGCTTCCTAGCTGAAGTTGTAATACGTGTTAGTTTATCAGGTCCTTATATATATCCTGACCCTAAAACTTGGAAGCCTGCCAGTGCTGTGTACTGGATATCTAGCAGTAAGGATTTTATCAATCCTGTATTGCTAAGAATATGGCATAACATGAGAGGGAAAACTGATTTATCGTCAATAAAAGTTCTGACAGCTGATGACAATCCTGAAAATAGAACTTACATTTTTAAAGAAGTTCATGATAGTAAAATTACTATAAATGGACCTTTTGTCTACATTTTATTGAATCATTTCTCTTCTTACACTGCTGTTACAGATGGTGATATTAGACATTTCAAAGGTTCATTGATATATCGTAAATCTCCAAAAAGTGATAAAATTTGGGAGTATAGTTTTGTTGTATATAAGTGTCATGTTAATGGCATTATTGAAAAAGTATGCTATTATTATTATACATTGTAATTATTTCACTTCATTTGTTTAATTTTTAGTTACTGGATGGAAGTTACAGTGGATGGACTTATGATTATCCTGAATTTTACCCTGTGACTTTTGAAGATAACAGTGCAGCTTTGGAACTTTATTTAACCCATAATCAATCCAGTAATAATTGGGAATTTATTGAAAAAATGCGACCCCTTATTGTAAGATATAATTATACATGATAATTTTATTATATTTTCAAGTGTCGAAAAGGTGAGCTTCAGAATCAAATTGGCTCAACAAGTAGTTTGCCATTTATGCTACAATGGACTGGCAAAGGTTACCCTTATAAAGCAGAAGCAAAAATTTTAAGACTCTCATTCAGTGGAGCTGAGCAACCAAAAGAAATCAAATTTATATCAAACTCAAGTACATCATCCATCTGCATGTACTTTACATATATTTATTTATTATAGTTGATGAAGGTGAGGGAAATAAAATTAGCTACAAAAGTGGAGGTATCTACAATTTTTTGTCACTTATATTAATGAAATTTACATAGGAGTGATACCACGGCATGAAAACTTGCTTGAATATGTCAATAAAATTACTAAATCTAAGGAGTTTTGCTGGCATCTTGGTATGAAGCCTGAAGACTGTGCCAGAATAGAGAGAGATGAACATTCGATTAAAGAACGGATAATGGAGGTGTTACGCAGTTGGCAGGCTACAGGAGAAAGAACATGGAAGGATCTTATTAAAGCAATAGCTTTGACTGGAGAATGTATGGAAGCAAAGAAGTTTGCTAGAGCACATAATGTTCAATTTGATGAAGAAAAAGATAAGCTAGTCTTTGACAATTGCCCTAAAATTAATGAAAATTTGTACTGACTAGTATAAATAATATAATTTGTATTTAAAATGAATGGGCTTTGCTCTTGAAATGACTTTATGCATATAAAATACATGTGCATTTAGTACACGTATATACAATCTAGATTATAAATAACATATTGGGAAATTAGTCATTAGTTGGAAACAATATGTTAATTTTTCTAGTATCCTTTAATTGAATGCATGTGAAATTTAATTTTGCTCATATAGGTGTGAGCCATGCTTTGTGAAATGAAGCATAATACGAAATTCAAGCAGCTTGCCAATAGATGTACTACAGTTCATAGTTACCAAAATCAGTCATTTTTACTTGCTCTGAAGCAATTTTTATAAAAATAATAGTTTTGGCACATGATTATAATTATTTTATTAATCTCATCCAATAATCAATATAAAGTATTTACAATAATAATAACTATAATAAAAAGTGCTATACTAGTGGAGGCAAATCAACCTCCTCAAAACTGTCCAATGATTTCTTCCAGTACACGTAAGAACTATAATCTTCACTTTGCATTCGACTCAGTGATGTCTTTTTACTACCTTCTTTAGCTCTGTCACTAGAGTTTACTAGTGGGGGGAACTGTGCATCCACTAGAGACATTAGATCTTTATATCTGAGAGAATTTAAGGGAAAGAATAAGGAACAAAATAAATGAGGAAACAGAAAAATATCTACATACATTATGTATAATTCATTTAAGAAAACAAAGCATAGATGATGGTCATTCTTAGAACTTACGATGATTGAAAAGTGTATGATAGTTCATTTGTGATTTCTCCCTTGTGGTTAACACTGAAGATACGAGATATCGGTATTCTGACCTGAAGATATGACTTTACATCCTAAAATAGTCAATGACATTATTATTGTATTGCAACTATAAGAAGAACTACTTACACTGTGTCTATTGCCGAATCCGGAGTGAAACGGATTGTAGTCACTTGGAAAAATTTCTTGAATCTGTTGCAGGCACAATATCTTGAACTCTTCTGGTATTCTCTGAATGACCTCCCTAACAAAAAAATACTAATCATTAAAATCCTAACAAAATATAATACTTAATTTTCATGAACTTAGTAAAAAAGAAAACATTATTTTTTTACTTTTTAAAAGCAGTGTAGAGTGAGAATGGTGTAACTAGCAAGGGCCCATCAGGGAAGTAATAATCTCCTCTCTTTGTCTTCTGTAGGTAATTCTTAGTATACCACGACTGCCATTAATCAAACGTATATTAATAATAATACAATAATAACGGACTTACTTGTCCAATTGCTCTAGCTGAGAGATACACAAAATGATATCCATTCTTGTTGATGGCAGAGAAGAGCTCAATAACTCCATTCTGTGTCCAGTCCTTACCAATAAGAGGCAGGACTTGACCAGCAACATCAGATCTGAAAAACAAAAATTTTTTATTGATTCACATTATCAAAGGCATGGAAATAACTAATAGAAGGAAGCTTTAATTCAATCTGTAATACTACATGTATAAGCTTACCAATTTCACACTATACATATACAGCAAGCTGTTCTGGTAAGGGAAGTATGATCTAAACCCTGTACTATAGCACAGGGTATTTTGTCAAAAATTGCAAGGAAAGATTTCTACATTTTTATTACATTTCCTGATAAATATACATGTTCTTATGTTGTGTAGAAAGTTTGAGCTGATTCCGATCAAAATTGGATTTTTTATGAATTTTTTAAGTTGCTCAAAAATCGGGTCAAAGTCCCTGTACTATAGTACAGGGTCTTTGGCCAATTTCACCAAAAATGACTAGGTGAGAATTCTTCATTTTTATAATTTTTTCTGATACATATACATGTTCTTATGTTGTGTAGAAAGTTTTAGTGGATTCCAATCAAAATTGGATTTTTTACAAATTTTAAAAGTTACTAAAGGTTTCTCAGCTTATGAAACAAGCTTTTACCACACTTAGCAAGCTTTGTAGGAAGCATTTGGCCTATTTTATTTAAATAAAATACATTTTATGACAGTAGATGTACGTTGTACTGCTATACATGCAACAACAAGAAGACGTTACACAAAAGTATAAAAATTATATATACCTTGTAATTGTTCCATCAAAATCAGATACGACAAGCTTCACAGTACAGTCCCAAAGATAAAATGTACAAGCAGCTTTAGCTGTGCCCTGTAATAATACCAATGCCATCAATCATCATAAGTATCATCATTATACGTTATATATCATACCTGATACTTTGTCGTGATAGAGAACACAATATCATTTCTACCCATTTTAAGTGGCCATTGTGCCTATTACAAATATCATTAACAGATAAGCATTGATGAAACACTGACTAATTCTTCAGGAGTCAATTCTGTCGAGAAACGAAGTTTCTTTCTTCTCATTGATCTCTGACGGCTCTTTGAGGTTCCCTCATTTTTATTGTTAGTGCTAGTTTCCTCGTCAGTGGGTCCTCCCTCATCACTGGAGAGACTATCAATGATGTGTGCACTACTGGCCCAATCTATTGGTTGATGATGATGATCAATAGGGACTTCGTGTGATGGGGGTATGTTGTTCTAACAAATAAAGTAATAATAATGCAATAAATGCTGTGAAGAAAGTTTGAGCTAATTTTCGAGTTACCAATATTTTGAAAAATAAAATAAAACAAATTAAGGTCCCAAGCATGTAAAATTTTCTGTTTCCAACTCTCCATATATTATTCTAAAGTGTAAATTTTGCATATGGTAATGTAAATGCACATGTATATGGCCTTTCACAAATCAGTATATGTTTTAGTAATTCTCTAGAATATGATAAATAATATTCTTACTCCATTTGGCACTGGCTCTGAGCTGTTATTGCGATTCCAGAAACTCCAAAAACGAGACTACAAAATTGAGAACATAAACAATTCTTTACAAAAACTAATCAATTTAATTAACAGTACATGTACATGTATAATGTGCAAATGAAAAGATAAGCAATATGCTACCAATCAATAACTAATAACAAGAAGTTAACAAACCGTATTAAATTAAATCTTAAAATTACTTTTTTTGATTTCATCATTGCAGTCATCGAAGACTCGGGTAGTGTTTGACTATACAATAAACACGACATTATCATTGGAGCAGCAACCTGCCAACCGTAATACCTATAGACAACAATAGAACAAAATATCAATAAATACACTATAGACTTATATGTGCTAATCTCACTTGTTATTAATTCTAACTACTGTGTCGGGGTGGGCGAGTATTTCAGGGTTAGAGCAAAACTCGGCGAAACTGATTTGAGAGCTTTGGAACATTTCGCTGCTGATCCTTCCCTGAGAGAGACCGCCACAGCGAGAAATAGCAATATCAGAGAGAGTGTTACTAATACAAAAAATATTACTTTAACCCTTATACCATATATATATGTACATCTTATAGTATTAGATTACATTCTTCAATAGCAGCAGATGTCATACGATAGCCACAGGCATTAATGGCATGCTTACATTGTTATTATTCACTATTGCATCAGATCCCAAGGCATATTGCATCATTAAATCATTATCAAGAGTACCTTTGATAACATCTGTGAGCTTTGGCTCATTACAAAGTTAGTCTAAAGCTTTGTAAACACAAACAAATTCATAATGCTAAATAAGCATTCCTTTATATGATGAAAAACAATGTACATGTACATGTACATCATGCATGTGCCATGAGTATGGCATGTGCTAAATAAGTGTACTGCATGAGTGATGTGCATTAATTGATTTAATTCTTACAGGATTCTATCAGTTTCTTGATCTTCATCACTTGTTGGAGGATGTGAGGGTGAGAGTGAGGGAGAGCTACCAACTCCACTGGTCTCATCACTAGCAATAACAACATTAAGTAAAATACTCACAACAGTAGACTTTAAAAAAATAATAAACACACTACATTAAATATATTGCACTAATAAAGCATATAGACCTGAATATAGGGCTAGTGTGATGGGGCGGGTGAGGGTGTCGATCAGGAAAGAACTTAGGCACCTCTTCTTGATTGACAAATCCTTGAGACAAGTCATCAAGATAGACACCTTCCTCAACGCTGCTGTATCTACGCCTCTTCTTCTTACGGAGAATGCCAGTTAGTTTACCCCATATGCCTCTCTGATCCTCTATACAGTATAAAGGTTAAAGTTATTCACAATACATTATTAACTTTTTGAGGCTTTTGTACTTATGGATTATTTGACAAAAAGGGCATTACACAAAATACTACAAAACAACAGCTCAAAGTGAAACAAAAGCTGCTAAAGGTTCTAAAACATAGGTTTAGTTGTATAAACATTATAAGGAATAACTGACAGGTATAACACTATTCTAGTCACATACCATTCTGTAGTGAGGCCAGACCACCTTCTTCAGCAGTTGAGAGTGATCGCGTTACATCACCTTGAGTCTTCACTTGATATCTATCAACCTCACTGTCACTTAATACTAGATTTGCTTCAGGACTAGAAAGAGAGAAAGATACATAGAAAAAGAAAAGAAGAGAAAAACAGAGGAATATATAGAAGAAGATAAATACAATTTAACGAGTATTTCATATCTCACTATTTGTCATTAGTTTCCTCCAGTGCACTATCAGAGAGGACTCCAGAATCAGGTAAACTAGAAGATAGAAGCTTTGGCTCGGGCCACTTGAGATTAGCTACGTCATCAGTTGGAGTTTCAAAATCAGAATTAGCCGGCTTAAAATGAGAATAAGAGGTAACAAGCATATATGTTCATACATGTATAAGTACATACCTCTGTGGGTTGTGGGATTGTTATTGATGGAGTGAAAACTCCATTAGGGACTGGCTCCTTATCTTCAAATAAATCCTCTTTACTCTTTTCAGGACTCATGTCTACATCAGACTCTTCAATGGACACATCAGCTTGATGATGATAATCAGTAGTGCTTAGTAACAGCTGCGTTGCTCCTTCATTATCAATTTTAGTATCCTGTACTAGTAAGAGGTCTAAAGGTGCAATAGGTGAGCTGGATGGTACTGGAGTTACACAGTCTGATGATGATACACTGACAGTTGTATCGACAGACAAGGAATGATCAACACATTGGGATGTCTAGTAGAAATACCAAGGCAAATGGTTAGGATACTTGATTAATGTACCAGGTATTTTAATATAAAGTACATGTAGGTATATTCTTATAGAAGGGGCTACTTATGTGCTAAAGTCACACTGCCATTTCAATATGTCACAGTCATATCATATCAATTGAAGTGCAAATGGGGATGGTTAATATATGAAGTTGTACATGCATTTTGCTAATTGCGGCTTACTGGTCTTGATGATCCTTCGGCAGGATTTGACTTGACAAAAAAGGCAGATCCATTCTCCGTTATCATCATCTTATTATTAACAACCTCACCATTGACTTCTATCTCAACCTACATAGAAATATCAATAATTCATTTTATGAATAATAATGAAATATTTGCAAATCCTCACTTATCATAACTTTAATGAATTTATATTTTAAAATACATACTTACTGTATCATAACAATAACCAATAACCTTGACTAACAATGAAATGCAATTTATGCTACAAGATGAACCATCTGTTGTTTTGCTGATGCTAAAGTACAACTACAACCACTTGCTACCACACATCCTCACTTCTTTTTTAAGGTCTCCTGTACGAAATACGCCAAATTTTCCAAATCGAACATGAAATGGCGTAGCCTTGATGCTTCCATCAGGCTGCTTGATGCCAATTACATCAACGGCTCCAGTCAAATTAGCTCCATTCAAATCGTTGTATAAATCTTTGCAGCTGGAAACCAGTTTAGCACCAGCTCTCCCCACATAGCCAAGACCTAAATAGTTCATTGCTCCTGTATTATGTTTCTTGCCTGGAAGAGATAAAAGACTTGGTGACAAAGTATAATTATTGTGAAGGATGCAAAATATAAGCATGTGATTGATTATCAATAACCCAAAAAGGAATGTGCTAAACTGAGATATAATGTGATACAGTACTACATGTACTACTAGTTTCGTGGATTCATTTCCTCTTTCCTTCTCTTATCTAACTACACACAATGCATAACATAAGCCATATTAAAGAAATAGAAACATTTCTTTATAAAGCAGGATATGAAACACTATCAATAAAGGCCTTCACTAGCAAATACAGCTTACTGCTACGCCCACCACTGGTGTTTAATCAAACCATAAATATCTATGATGAAACTAACTAACAGCTCTATCTAATAATTCGGGATTCTAGTACTGTTGAGTTACTTTAGCTTTCAATTATATATAATTATGAGATCAGTCCAACTTTCATAATAATCCTAATCTCAATAGGAGATAATAAACACCACACTCTCTATTAATAGTAGTGTGTGCGTGAAACATTACTCTTACGTCTCTCTTCTTTGTAGTACAAATAGAATCTTTCGCAATTCGCACTATGGCTCAAGTGACAAAGGACTTTTGTTGATAAACAACAAACCCTTGACGTCACAAACCGGCTTCTTCTTTGAACAGATATTTAAGTCCAAGTTTTATCAGGTTCGGCAATCTGGTCACAGCATAGATACTTTTTACCTCTGATTAGTATACTGTATGGTCTCAGGCTCAGCTAGCTAGCCTTATCCTCAGCCTCAGGTGATTTCGGGTGATTTAAGTTTAATGATGAGGGCGTAGCCAGGTGTGTCTCTAGCTATAGCTATATAGCTAGCTAGCTAGCTAGCTAGCTAGGTGTGGTATAGGGTGGGGCATATGCGCATGTGGTTGCTGCAGCATGCATACCGTCGAGCATAGCATGAAGTTTCTAAAGGAAAAGCAAGTAAGCCCTCCACACCTTGAGCATATAGACTTCTTACTTTTTCTTGATCTATGTCTTTACCATTTTTAGTTGTCTTTTGTCCTAGCTGAAGTCCTTGCCATGAAGAAGAGACTAAGGATCAGCATCCCAACTATGGTAATATGGGTAGTTCTTTTTAAGCCAGTCTAGCAAGCTAGGCTGTAAGATTAAGCTAGGCTGCAAAAAGTTGTGGCACCACATAACGCTGCTGTGTTAGTAGAAAAATAAATATTTTTGCAATAATTTATTGTAGTTGCCATGTATGCAATAATTAAATGCATAATAATAATAGTAATAAAATAATAATTAATAATGTACTATTATATTCTCTATTTTTGTAGGTGTTTCTCCTCTTTCTCCTCCTCCTGTTGGTGGGCGGAGTAATCCAACTCCTCCTATGGGTGGGCGGAGTGATCCTCTCCCTTCTCCTGTGGGTGGATGGGATGGCCCTCTCCCTCTTCTTGTGGGTGGATGGAGTGATTCTCTCCTTTATCCTGTGGGTGGGTGAAATGATTCTTTCCATCTTCCTGTGGGTAGGCGGAGTGATCCTCTCCGTCTTTCTCTGGATAGGCGGAGTGATCCTGTGGGTAGGTGGAGGGATTCTCTCCCTTTTCCTGTGGGTAGGCGGAGTGATCCTTTCCGTCTTCCTCTGGATGGGCGGAGTGATCCTGTGGGCAGGCGAAATGATTCTCTCTCTATTCCTGTGGGTAGGCGGAGTGATCCTTTCCCCCTTCCTTTGGATGGGCGGAGTGATCCTATGGATAGGTGAAATGATTCTCTCCCTCTTCCTGTGGGTGGGTCAAATGATTCTCTCCCTTTTCCTGTGGTTGGGTGGAGTGATCCTCTCTGTCTTCCTCTGGATGGTTGGAGTGATCCTATGGGTAGGCGGAGGGATTCTCTCCCTCTTCCTGTGGGTAGGTGAAGTGATCCTCTCCGTCTTCCTCTGGATGGGTGGAGTGATCCTATGGATGGGTGAAATGATTCTCTTCTTCTTCGTGTGGGTGGGTCAAATGATTCTCTCCCTTTTCCTGTGGTTGGGTGGAGTGATCCTTTCCCTCTTCCTTTGGATGGGCAAAATGATTCTGTGGGCAGGCGAAATAATATTCTCCCTCTTCCTGTGGGTAGGTGGAGTGATCCTATCCCCCTTCCTCTTGGTGGGCCGAGCGATCCTTTCCCTATTCTTCTGGGTGGGTGGAGTGATCCTTTCTGTGTGCAGAGTGGTTCTGTCGGTATGCAAAGTAGTTGTCCCCTTTCCACTGTTGGTGGGCGGAATGCTCCTCTCCCTTCGGTTCTTCATTATGGTAGGTGACGTGGTCGTCCCCCTCATCCTCTTGTGGGTCAGTGTAATGGTCCTCTACTTCCTGCACATGTTGGTGGGTGGATTGGTTCTCCTCCTATTGCTAGGTGGAGTGGTCCTCTCTTCTCTCCTGTTGTACGTTGGTAGGTGTATTTATAATGCACGTGGGAATCTCTCTAGTACTGGAGCTGGTATAACATTAACAACATCTGTGAGTTGTGAATGATTGAATGAATAATCTCTTATTGTTAACAATAGTTACTATCTCATTTCTTTTTTATTTATTTTAGGTTCTTCACTGTCAGTTTTTACCATTATTAAAAGATCCTCAAGTATTTCAAAATATAGAGCAGGAGTATGGTGTGAAGTTCAATGTAAAGCTCCCTAATGGTTCAACCAAACCTATTGCTACTTTTACCAATACCATAGCTAGTATGATGTCTGGTTCTTATCCATTGACTATTGAGAGTATTTTTGATTATTTATCAAGCTCTGTTGCTGATGTTATCTCTTGGAGTTTTTTTGATGGTCAGTTCAAACCTATGAGTCCTACTGATTCTGCTGAAATTGAAAAACTCTATCAGCAGTTTCTTCATCAAGCAGCAAGCCATGCCGGGAGTCAATTGCCATATTCTAGAAAAATTGGAGAATGGAACTACAGTTATGATTTTGATGGCATGGTTCAGACAAATACGAAAACACGGAAAAAGCGTAAAATCAAACGTATACCAGCTCTAGATTCGTTTTCCCTCTGCCTATCCTGTCGTGGTTTAAAAGATAGTGTTCACACTTCTATAGCTAGTTTACATGAAAAGTTAAAAGGGATGATTATCAAGAAAACATTTGGAGACTGCAGTACAGATATTGTGGAGCCTATTATTAAATTAGCAAGATCATTTTGTGTGAAAGTAGATTCATCACTTGATAGCATTGTAATATCTGGTGGTAGTGATTATTTGGCTAAAGTATTTCTTGTTTTAAGACAGAAACAAATGAGCCTTGAATCTACTTCACTTTTATCTTTTCCTCCAGAGTGGGAGCCACAGACTGAAAATATTGAACTGAAGTCTGTTCCAGTTAGTTCTTCTGAGGGGGCAAAGGTAGTGAGTGCTTTCAAGAAAACAATGAACTCAAATATTTCAAAAATTGAGAGGATCCAGAACAAGTTTTTATACACCAAGTATGACCTGTGCAAGAAAAGGATGCATGAGAAGAATAATGGACGAGTAAATGAGAAATGGTTATTTCATGGAAGTCGCAGTGTTCCTCCAGAAACTATATACAAATCAGAGCATGGCTTTGATTTTCGTCATGCTGGCCAAAACTGCTTGTGGGGGAGAGGAGCATATTTTGCAGTTAATGCCAAGTACTCTGGGGTTCTTATGCTTTTAATTCTCCTGAAGGTCGACAGATATTCTTAGCCTTTGTTTTAACTGGTGACAGTATAGCAATGCAAAGTAATCGCTTGTTAGTCACTCCACCAAGAAAAGAGGATGGCAGTGGAGATTATGACAGTGTAAATGGTGTGACTGGTTTATCTCAGATTTATATTGTATATGATCATGACAAATGTTATCCGGCTTATCTTGTTACATTTCAACAGTAGTCTAATTCTACTGTAAACTTTTAATTTAATTTACAAATTGAAATTATTATCTCAAGCACAATAGTAAAGCTCCCATATGACCAAATAAATGATACGACATGATAGGAATTTATGATATGACAGGAATTGTGTCTGCATGACTCATGATAAATTATTTTAATTGGGGAAAACCCAATCGAATGAGGCAGGCTTGAGATGTAGTATCTATGGATAGAGAAATTAACCATGCTCCCATGTACCATTATAATGATGCCTTCATAGTAGTATGTAGGGGGTCAATATAAAGCTCGGACCGGATCAACGGACCAAGATTACGGAAGACACAGAAGTTCAGCAGGGGGCTTGTATAGAATCATACTCATGGAATGTTTGAACGGACCATAGATATACAAACATTATATATACTAGACAAATGTAAAACATTAAGGGGCGAGCAAAACGATTAGCACTTTCATTAGCAATACAATGTTTTTGACATTGATGTAGTCACAAGTCTAAATACAGTATTATAGATCTAAAGTTATCATTTTATCACTCAAGTTAAGATGATCTCGGCAGCAATAAATGGTAATTTAGCTAAATCAATGGTAATTTAGCTAAATCAATGACAATGTGACTAATTCAGCTTAGTCAGCTAAATCAATAGTATTTCAACTATATCAATGGTAATTTAGCTAAATCAGTGATAATTAAATTAATAGTAATTTAACTAAATCAATGAGATATTTTAAAGGTGGGGTTTTGACACAAACGGCACTCATGATCATGCAGCAAGAGCTCACATGCAGCTTTCTCACTTGCAACTTATTCCTTCATACCAAGAAAAAAATTTGTATATCTGCATTCCTAATCTTTATTTTGCTAGAGAAGACTTGTGAACAGCAGTTTAGCCTTATCCAGCCGAACTGCACCCTCCCTAAACCGGAAGAATTTTCTTTGCAACCGGAAAAGGTGTTACCCAAGAAAATGGCTGAACTTAGGTTGTACTTTGTTTTTAGCTGGAAATCTTTACTGGACCACTATTAAAGCTACTTTATGCTATCATTTTGATTACTTCAAGGTCATAAATGAAATACTTTTAATGGAGAATCAAAGTTCTATGTTCTATGGCAATAAAAGGACCATGTGTGACATTGCTAAATGGAAAGGAAAAGCAAGAAAGCTATTATTTCTATACCCGTAAGTGGGACAATGAATGTTTGGTTTTATAGTGTTATAATAATGATCGTGGGACACAATGAACATGATAAAATGAATTATATGGCTAAGTACCAAGTTTGTAGTACAAATGAAAATTACAGTATTACGTTAGCTATCACTTGTCATGTATTAGTAGTCCATGTTGTTTAACCATGGGCCACAGTATGATACAGATGTGTTGCTAGACTTATTCTCTACATTTGCTGATGGTGTAAACTGTACATTGTTGTTTGTGTTGTGTTTATTTGACCTTCAAAATTATCACCAAAATAT